AAACAAATCTCAGATAACGGTTGACTAGGTAGCAATGTGTAATTAGACCAAAGGTTCATTTTGCGCCGGAGTTGTCCTTTAAGGTGCTTTATGTATGTTTCTTTGTTAAAGCATAAAATGGTAAATGTTTGCAGATATTTAGGAAACATGCTGAGTACACATGCATTCTCCAAAAAAAACATGCTTACAGCCAGTTATTCTGCTTTGAAATGTGCATTCGGTGTGGGATGTCTGTTTTTGTTTTGGTCCTGCCAATTTGCTCAATATTATTTCAACACCCTGGGTTTCCAGTTATACTAAACACAGTGTTACTATAGCCATGGTTGGAAGTCAGCCAACAAACTGACCTAAAAAGCCTCGGCATGTAAAAGCACATTATAAAACACAGATACATATCACAGCATAAGGTTCAATGCTTGCCATTTTCAATTGCGCTCATTCTTGTTTGCGTGTCCTCAATCTGGCAATCCGCGTAAGTGACAAGTCTGCCAAATTACCGCCATTTTGGGACGATTTACACACTCCGTACTTTAACGAACTCCTCCTAGGGATTTAGTCGGATCGACTTCAAATATCTGCTGTGCCTTCTAAAGGCATTGACGATGTAAAGTTGTGCTATCTGCGCGTTTTCGCCGATGGGCGTGTCCGTGGCGTCGATGATTCGCCATGAAACAGGAAGTTGTAATAACTTGGCTGTAAATGCCCAGATCTGCACCAAATTTTACACATTTGACAAGAGTCCCGCCCTGAACAAATCTACATGCCGACATTCACCCTAAGTCATAGCGCCAAGTGCTGGCAACAGGAAGTGACCTTTAACGAAGCAGCAAACCAAATTCACAGTAGCACCGGCTGAGCCGCAGAATATGCAACGCGGCCGCCTCACACCCCAACGCGCTACAGGTGCGAGGGCCCGCCCATCGCTGCTTGCAGCTTTAAAAAATTTTTCTGCAAAGTAAGCTCCATTTTCGAGGCTGCAACATGCTCAAAATCTCACCAAATTTGGCACGAGTGTCAGGACTGGTGAAAAAGTTTGTATTTTGTGGGTTTTGTGGATGGGCGTGGCAAAATGGCTCGTTAGCGCCACCTAGAAAATTGAAAAAAATTAGCCCCTCGTCCACGTTCAACGTACACACACTAAATTTGGTGGTGACGTGTATCATGTAAAGAGACGCACAAAAAAGCCTCAAGAACCCAAACCCTAAACTCGACAGGAAGTCCGCCATTTTGAATTTGGCGACTGATTTGAGACGATTTACACACTCCGTACTTTAACAAACTCCTCCTAGGGATTTAGTAGGGATTTCATTCCCCATGAAACAGGAAGTTGTTGTAACTTCAGTGTACATCCTCAGACCTGTGCGAAATTTTATACATTATACAACAGTTCCGCCCTGAACACATGTACATGCCGAAATTATCCCACAGTCATAGTGCCACCTGCTGGCAACAGGAAGTGACCATTGTGAATTTTACGTCAATTTTTGGGTGATTTGGATGTGTAGCAAATTCACAGCTGTACCGGCTGAGCTCCAGAATATGCAACGCGGCCGCCTCACACCCCGACGTGCTACAGGTGCGAGGGCCCGCCCATCGCTGCTTGCAGCTTTAATTATTATTATTATTATTATTATTATAATTATATGTTAATCTATTAACATATAATAATAATAATTAATTTATTTTTTTACATTGATAGTTTTTGTTTTTTTGATACTTTTCTTTGCACATAGTGGAGAGTTTGAAGCAGTGTTTAATAAAATTGTTTGAATTCACTTTTTGGACTGTGGTATTGATTTAGTATCGATATTATGTTGGTATTATGTTCTGGTATCCTACCGAAGCCAAAATCTCAATGTTTGGACTTTAATCTCGAAATGTTTGGACTTTAGTCTCGAAATGTTTGGACTTTAATCTCGAAATTTTTCAACTTTAATCTCAATGTTCGATTTTTTTTTTTTTTTTTAGGTTGCGGTTCAGTAGCCTGACTACGTCAGACTTCCTACTTCCGATCATTTCATTTCGCTCCCTTAGTCAGTCTGAGATAGCAGCCTATCTTTCAGTTTTCCTCCGGGCTGAAAACAGCCGGCCAATCAACGAACAGAGGGCGGGCTGAGAGCCGTGACCTAGACGCTAAGCGCCGCGTTTTACATTGTAGTTTAGATAAATTGAAAACCGAAACGACTGTGGAAATGTGAAATGAGACACGTGATGCAATTCGCTCTGTTATGGAGAACATCCTGGGGTTTTTCAAACTGAAGCAAAAGTCGTTTACAGCAATTGTTCACTCCGGTATTTCGCTCGCATCATCAAGTGTTTACAGCCAGGACCGGCACGTACACTTCTGCCGCTCTAGGCGAAAAACTAATTTGTTGCCCCTCTATTTGCAATGTATACCAGCAACAACAAACAAAGACCAACATGCCATAAACCTATAACGTGAAAAAAACCTATTCTAAAGTCAGTGGTGCGTTGCACGTTGTTAATAATGCTATTTTAAGGGCGTATGCTTGGCCATTATGCACAACACGGATACACTTTAATTCTCTCATCAACACAGATGCAGCTGTTTTTATTTTCGCAAATCATACATTATAACAAGGAAAAATATTAACACTTCAAGCTTCAAGCAACACATTTAGGCTACCCAAATTTTTCAGGCTAATTGTAGTAATGATGGATCAGACCTGTTTGGCCAATAGTGGCAAGACCCATACGTATGTATAATATAAGGACATAACTTACCCCCATACAACGTCACTTCTCTGTCTCCTTGGCTGTGAACGCTCCTGGTGCGTTCTTAATGTATTGTTATTATTAGAATAATAACAACAATCAGCCATATTTCGTTTCGACATCCTGCTGCATTAGTCCCAGATAGGTGATTATGAATGATCTGTTCATTGCGTATGTCACGTGACAAATGAACGTAAGAACGTAAGGAAGGTAAAGTAATTATGTATGTTCCCTGTAAATAATTTTTTACTGCATTATGATTTCTTAATTCAGAATATGATCGACATTGCGTATATGGATGTGTTCAGGGAATTCGGGGAATTCTGTTAAAATTATAACATTTAAAGCCACTTAAATAAACGAAATGACTCAGAGTCAGTAAAATAAACTTCCTATTACCCAGTCATGACTCGTGAGAGCAGGGGCTAGCCCTCACCGGCTCTGCGGAAGCTAAATCAGTCATGACTCGTGAGAGCAGGGTGCGCTGACGCTGCGGGGCGGCCGCAGCTCAGTAAATCATATAAATAACTTAGTTTGTGAATTGTTCATTCCCGGTTGGCACACATTTTGCAGCCCTTACAAAAGCGCCGCTCAATGGCCCTGGCCCATTCCAATGGCAAAGGCCCAGTGCGCCTATAAGGAGATACCAGCCCTGTTTACAGTGGAAGTTCGATCATAGATTTGAGTTCGATGCATGATGTCTGTGGTTCGATGCGGCTGTGTCGGCGCATAACATACGTCATAAATAAACTTATCTGATTGGTTTACGGGTAACCAATGATCTTAAACTTCAAACAAGCGCCCCCTAGCGAGAGAGAAAACACTTCACTATTATGCCATTCCAGACTCTGTCTACGAAGCAAAGTGAAGTAGCGAGTCTGGTATTACCAGGCTAGCGGTTCAGCGCTTCCATACAAATTCACAGAATTTGTAGAAATTATAGAAATTATTACCTGTCAATAGAGTTATACACAGCGATTGTGTGGGCAGTCAAACTACAGACTCCTTAAAACTTTTTGCTACTTTTCCTTATAAACCCAGATAATTCAGTTATTAACAAATGGTGATGCCTGTCATTATAATTAGATTTTGGTTGTGTATTCAGGAGCTCACACAGTGCGGTCTGCCTGATTTTACATTCAAGAAATGAGGCTATTAAGACACATTACTTTTCTCACATTTCATAACTTCTTTTAGCTTTTCATCATATTGGGAGAATGAGACAACTTAACCTGGCGCACTATGACACTTTAAAAGACAACAATCATGAATAGTTACATTTTGTACACACATAACATTGTATAAGTTTTCAGTGTATTTTAGGTGAGGAGGAGAAAGTGTGTGTGAAGGGTGAACTGCACTGTGTGCTGCGTCTCCAAAGTTCCTGTTACATATACAAGAGGGAGTTACATATTCAAGAGATAGTTCAAGTGTTAATTCCCAGGAGGGCCTTTTGTCACATTGAGGGGTCGACCAGACATACTGGCACCAGCCTTACAGTATGAAGTCATTTGCGCCTGTTGCAAGATAGGGCCTTAGGTCTCACCTTGCGCCAAGCAGAGGTAGGCAGGTCATTGTTTTTGTCATGGTAAATGGTGCTCTAATGTATCAGTCTTCATAAGGGGTCATGAACTGGCTTTTTAATTTTTACTATATTGTTGTAAACCCACGCCCAACATATAGGCCTATTGTGATTTTCTGTTTATACCTTTCTCTTGTAATAGTGTTTAAACCAGTAAATGTTTCTTCCATATAAGAGCATTTTTAACAGAGGCAGTGTCTGTGCCTTGCCGTTGATAACCAATAGTGACTTCTAGGGATGCACCACTTTTTCCAGAAGGAGTCCGATACCAATACTTTAATTTTTGGTACTCGCTGATAGCAAGTAATGATTCCTGCATTTTAACCGCATTAGTAATTTTTCAATGTTTTGTGTAGAGAAACCAAAATAATATAAATCATATTATTGGCTTCATTTGTTCAACAAATTTATATTTCCTTCAATTATTTTCATTTTCACAGATGGCCATGGACAAAGCTGCACTGATATTAACTTTGTTTAGTTCACTTGTGTTAACTTAGCTGCTTTCAAAGTAAGCTGCTATTAGTAAGTACTGCATGTATGTGTATCGGATTCTACCATATAAGGGCATTTTTTAAAGGGGCAGTGTCTGTGTCCTGCCCCTTTGAGATGTGATAGCCAATCGTGGCTTCATTACAGTTGTATATTTGGAATTCTTTTTGCAATTTCTTCTCAGTTCACCATGGACAAAGCTGCATTGAGACTAACTTTTTTCAGCCTTCTGTTTACTTGTGTCAACTTGGCTGCTACAAACAAGGTAAACCAACAGGTTACAAAATGCATGTGGGGGGAAATACATTATTTCTAAGTTTTCTTGACACTTTAAGTTGTTATTCTCCAAATAGTTACTTAAGAGAGAGGCAAGCAAAAATGTAACAAAACTAAACGAGTACACCCTTGAGTTCTATTCAGACGGCAATTGTTTCTCATGCGGTAGTCTGTAAAAAATGAATGTATTTACATAAGACATTTAGACCTAAGTGATCGTGCATTAGGGTGACAATTTATTCACGGTGGAGGAGCGAGGTTTGTAATACAAACCGGAAACATGCTGCTCATGTGGTCAGTTGCGCGATTGTCTGCTGTAAATGCTGTAGGAAAATTACATAATTTTATATTTTATAATTTTTATATATTATTATTATTATTATTATTATAATATAATTTATTTAAATCTTTTAAAACGTTCAAAGGGGTTTCTGTCTTGTAGTAGGATATGTAGCCCTCAAACTGTATTCACTTTATAGCCCTTAATCCTGTAATTGTGGACAAATGTGGGCACAGAGGACTCAGGTGTGATCCTAATTTTTATTTATTATAAATTTTATATCACTGTCTTCGATAAAGTTTTGTCTATTCATTTATGGTGTTTTTTTATTTTTGAATTTATTTACTTCAAAAAGTACCATATTTTCTATGTAAATTATGCTTAATTTTATTATTATTATTATTTTTAAACTAAATTAAAATATCATTCGAATAAGTTCTTAGAACTAAAACCTAAAGATGAAGTGACTTTGCTGTCACCTGGTGTCTTATTTTGGCTTATTATAGAATGCTCTAAATTAAAGTTTTTCCTATTCATTTCTATGGGTGCCCATTTTTGACCCAAATTCAAGATCAAGGAGTTTTTTATTTTTCACCCACTTAACATTGTAGAATTAAGTCAAAAGAAATTGTGTGTGTTCAGGAGGCAAACTTAGGAAAAGTAGCCAAGTCTTGTACCGCTCAGATCAAGGGAAGTATTTTTTAAAAAATAAATCAACTATTTTGCCCACATTTCAGAATACGGTTTTAGGGTTAAGCTATTAATTATGATGCATGTCATTTTAAAAATATGGAAATTGTCGGAAATAAGTCAATACAGCCTCTCTTATTTAGGCCTACATGAGGTAAAACATAAAGCAGGTTGGTTTATATTTTAATCATTTCTATCATAGTAAAAGCCCATTTCTTAATGTGCTTTTCTTCTCTTCCTTTGAGCGGTGATGAAATTATATTGCCGATCTTATGAAATTGCGCATTGTATGCCATTTATACGCTAAAAATAGTTCCCTTTCAAGGGAACTCAAGCTGCGTTTGGAACGCGGTGGGAACGCTCTGCGTGATTGCGTCGTGAAGCACGTGTATAATCAGTCCAATGGAAGAACGAGACGTCATGGGCGATGACGCCATGACCAGGAAAACTATAAAGCACCCCAGAAAACAGACGGCATCAGCTTCTGTGCCTTCACAAGCGCTCTCTGTATGGAATTGTCCCTGTCTGATTTATTGTTGTCTGTCTGTTCACAATATATCATATAATGGCTAAACAAAAATACAAGCGTTGTGTTGTTCCCTGCTCTCGTTTCATCACAGGTGGGGACACACATCAGCTTTGTGTTGCTTGTTTGGGAGTGGAGCATGCCCAGTCAGTTCTCGAGGGAGCTGACTGTGAGCATTGCGAGAAGCTGTCTGTGAAGACGCTCCGCTCTCGCCGGGCGTTCTTTGAGGAGGACGCTTCGGTGCGCGCTCCCTGAGGCGCGGGTCCTGCTGCTGCCGAGGCACAGCGTCGGCGCTCGTCTTGGGGATCGCAAATGGATCTAACAGCGGGGTTTGAGACGGGCTCTTCCCTATCTCTGCCCTTAGCTGTTGGATCTAGTGCCTTATCTCAGGGAGAAGCACGCTGCGGGATGAGGCACAAAGTCTGCGACTATCCAGTTCTGAGGAATTGGATGTCGTCAGTATTGATGCAAGTGAACATGAACACACGAAACCATATCATAAATCACTTGTAGGTGAGGAGCTTATGGAGGTTTTAACTCGTGCTGTTTCTAGATTAAATATTGAGTGGCCAGAAACAGGAGAACAGGATGTTTGCAGAAATAAAAAGAGTTTATTAGACGAGAGATTTTTGCCATCCAGAGTTCAGCCTCCACGCCGGGGACTCCCGTTTTTTTCCCGATCTCCACACTGAGGTGTCGAGGTCGTGGAAAAAGCCGGTGTCTTTCCGTGTCTTTAATCCCCAGACACATAATTATAGTAATGTTATGGGGATGAAGGATGCGGGTTATATGACAATGCCTCAGGCTGAAGAGACGCTCGCGAGCTATCTCTCTCCTGAGTCAGCGTCATCTCTCAAAGCCCCGACGTTACCCACCAAGCCATTAAAATCAATTTTAGTGCTGGTGGTCAAAGCGTATTCGGCGGCGGGTCAGGCTGCGGCATGCTTGCATACCATGTCTATTTTGCAAGCGTACCAAGCCGACCTGCTTAGGGATTTGGATGATTGTGAGGAAGTCAGCGCTGACGTGATTCGCGAATTATGTCGCGCGACGGATCTATCTCTCCGTGGGTACGGGGCGCCATCTGTGGCTTAATTTAGCCGATTTAAAAGATAGAGATAGATCTGTCCTGGCGTTCGCAGTCGAAGCCTATTAGAGACAGGCCAGATCTGAGGACTGTCATTGTCTCTAAGAAAGCTTCGGCTAAGAAGAAGTCCTGACGCCAAGGCTGTCAGGCTTCTGAGGGTGGTCCCCTCCGGGGAGAAACGGTTTCGAGGAATCGTTTCTCCTCGGCGCCATCTGGGGGGCGACTCTCTGAGGGGAGTCGCAGCGCCGTCAGTTCGGTTGTTCCCTGCCGGTTATCTGTGAAACAGTTTCAAAGACTGTTGGGTCTCATGGCAGCTGCGTCCAACGTTATCACTTTTGGCCTTCTGTACATGAGACCCCTGCAGTGGTGGCTCAGGACCAAGGGGTTTTCCCAGAGGGGAAATCCGTTTCGCTTGATCAAGGTCACGCGCCGCTACCTTCGTGCCTTGGTCATGTGGAGCAAACCTTGGTTCCTCGCCCAGGGCCCAGTGTTGGGGGCTTCTTGTCGACGCGTTTTGCTTTCGACGGATGCTTCCCTCACAGGGTGGGGGGCGATCATGAGTGGTCGCTCGGCGAGATGTCTTTGACAGGACCATCAGGTTTCCTGGCACATAAATCGTTTGGAAATGATGGCGGTGTTTCTAGCTCTCAAGCACTTCCTGCCAGACCTGAGAGGTCACCATGTGCTTGTCCGCACGGACAATACATCGGTGGTCTTGTACATAAACCATCAGGGGGGTCTGAGGTCACGTCACCTCTGCAAATTGGCTCATCAGATCCTTCTGTGGGCCCAAGGGAAATTGCTGTCTCTCAGGGCAGTTTTTATTCCAGGGCATCTGAATCAGGGAGCAGATATCCTGTCAAGGCAGGGGCTGAGGCTCGGGGAGTGGAGACTTCACCCCGAGGTGGTGGAGCTCCTGTGGGAGAAATTTGGTCGTGCTCAGGTAGACCTTTTCGCATAATCAGATTCAACTCATTGTCGAATGTGGTTTTCCCTCACACACCCAGCTCCTCTCGGACTGGATGCGATGGGTCAGGTTTGGCCGAGGCTGCGCTTGTACGCTTTACCCCCGATATCTCTGATTCCGGGAGTTCTGGAGAGGGTTTGCCAGCAAGGGGTCAGTCTTTTGTTAGTAGCCCCGTACTGGCCGGCCCGAGTCTGGTTCTCGGACCTAGTGTCTCTTCTAGACGGCTCTCCATGGGAGATTCCGATCAGGAGGGACCTGCTGTCCCAAGCAAGGGGCTCAATTTATCACCCTCGCCCGGAGTTGTGGAAACTGTGGGCTTGGCCCCTGAGGGGGCCGAGCTCATAGAGTCAGGTCTCTCGACTGAGGTCGTGGAGACCATACTCCAATCTAGAGCTCCCTCCACGAGAAGACTGTACGCTTTGAAATGGAAACTGTTCTCTACTTGGTGTGTAGAACGCAATTGTAATCCTGCTGCCCGATTGGTACAGTACTTGATTTTTTTGCAAGGTTTTCTGCTGGATTATCCCCATCCACTTTGAAGGTGTATGTGGCGGCTATTTCTGCCCACCACTCTCCTTTGGGTGGTTTATCTTTGGGGAGAGATCCTCTCATTGTTCGGTTTCTCCGTGGCACTTTGAGGCTTAGGCCTGCTCAGCGCACGAGAACACCGGCCTGGGATTTGCCGTGGTACTGGAAGGCTTGGCTTTGGCTCCCTTTGAGGCCATTGAGGAGATTTCGGAAAAGTTCCGTAAATCAGATCAATTGTTTGTCTGTTTCGGGTCAACTAAGAGAGGTTGCCCTGCCTCCAAGCAGGTTATGAGCAAGTGGGTAGTTGAGGCTATTACACCTGCTTACGAAGCGGCCGGTCAGCCTTCACCTTTAGCTGTCCGCGCCCACTCGACTAGGATTATGGCAGCCTCGAAAGCCTTAATATCTGGGGTTTCGTTGCACGATATTTGTAGTGCGACAGATTGGTCCTCACCGCATACATTTGTTCGTTTTTATGACTTGGACCTAGGCTCCACTCCAGGGTCTAGGGTGCTTGTGTCTTAGTGTGCTATTTTATTTCATACAGTACAGGCATTTGTCATTTGGCGTCGTGGGTATGGAGTTCCCACCGCGTTCCAAACGCAGCTTGAGTTCACTTGAAAGGGAACATCTCAGGTTACGTATGTAACCCTGGTTCCCTGAGAGGGAACGAGAGCTGCGTTCGCCTGCCATACTTCCTGCATGCCTGTGATCGACTTGCTTCTGGCCTTTTCAGAAGCTGATGCGGTCTGTTTTCTGGGGTGCTTTATAGTTTTCCTGGTCATGACGTCATCGCCCATGACGTCTCGTTCTTCCATTGGACTGATTATACACGTGCTTCACGACGCAATCACGCAGAGCGTTCCCACGTGTTCCAAATGCAGCTCTCGTTCCCTCTCAGGGAACCAGGG